TTTACTGAGAGAGTGAACCCAGGTGGCAGAAGACAGGTCTAGGGCGGGAGGGAGGGGTGGGAGAGGTAGGGACCTGTTGAATTTGAGGAGCCTGTGGACAACCAATTGGTTATGTTCTGAATCTTAGGAGAGAAATCTGGGCTGGAAATAAAGATTTGTGATTCATCAGCTCCTAATTAGTCTCAATGACTCCTCTGGTAATTGAAACCTTTGAAGTGGCTGAAGCTAACTCAAGGAGAGTGTACAATAAGAAGAGAAAGTTGATGAAAAACCATGGGGAACTCCAGCATTTAAAGGAGGGGTGAGGAAAGAACCTCTTACAAGAAACTGAGTAGAGTGGTTAGGGAGTTAGGAAAAACCAGAAGGGTCACTGAAGAAAGAGGGAGAGGCCCCTCGTCAGCACAGGAATCTCTGTATCTCACCGTGCTGCCTTGTGTATCCCCAGCCTCTGAAAGGTGGGGTGACCTGGCCTAAGCCACACAGGGTACGAATGAGGAAGCCAAGTTCTCCTCCAGTTCAGCAGTTCATCCATTAGCCTGTTTTATCTAGTTAAATGTTTTGTGTGTGGGAAATATGAGATAACTTACCTTTTAGCTGTTAAATTATAAACACAGTTATGTTCTGAGTGCATGGACTAGAATGATAGAAGTATTTTTCTTGTTTCTCTGATAAACCCTTTGTTTTGTCTGTGAAACAGGGTGATGATCCTCACAGAATAGTATAGGATTGTGACAAATTAAATGAATAAACATAAATACGTAGTACTGAGCCTAGTCCAGTAGGTATTCAGTGAGTGATAGATGTTTCTCTGTGTGTTGCTCTCTATTTGTCTCTTTCTTCTCTCTCTTTTAATAGAGAACTTGTGCCTTGTCCAATTAAACTGCTGTTTTGGAATTCAAGTTTTTCACATGGCAGATTTCCATGAAGAAAAAAATGTAATTATTGATTGAATTGTGCTGTTAGAATCAGAATTAGGTTTATAACAAATAGAAACATTGTTTGATAAACTTGCAAACAAAACAAAGCCAAAAATTGTACTTGCTATCCCCTTGTTGACTCTGGCCCTCTGTTTAAAATTAATTAGATTTTTGGATAACTATGCTAAACTTTGTCACATCCTTATTAAAATTGTTTAAGGATTTTGAAGAATATCTCAGAGGGACTCTGAAACTAATCTGAGTCTGGTACTGGAGATTCCATTAGCAATCACAAACCTGATTAATCTTTTACTCAGTTAGCTTATTGATTATTGCTGCAATTACTGCATGTAACGGATTCTGCAAGGGATACCAGCAGAAAACATTTTATAATTGCCGCTGATGTATTCAGGTTGAGCACAACATTTTGAACTTTTTGTACATAACTACTTCTGTGTTTTTAAATGCTAGAGCACTTCTACTCAGAAAGTGCTGTGCTTAATATTGTTAAAATATTAGGAGGTTCACTTTTAATTTCTCAACTATTAATGCATTATAGATTACAAAGTGCTTTCACTAATTCTGTTGTTGCAGTTTAATTTTGAGCTTCACACTAACCATATGTCATAGAGTAGATCTCTTTACTCTCATTTGGAGGAAGCTAAGGTTCACTGAGGTTTAAATGACTTCCCGAAGGCCACTACAAGTTAGTAAGTGGCAGAATCAAGATTGGACCCCATTTTTTTTCTTTCTTTTTTTTTAAACCCTCACCTGAGAATATTTTTCCATTTATTTTCAGAGTGGGAGGGAAGGATAGAGAGAGAAACAAGATGTGAGAGAGACACATCGATTAGTTGCCTTCTGCACTACCCTGACCAGGACCAGGGACCGAACCACAACCATGGTACATGCCCTTGATTGGAATCGAACCCGCAACTCTTCGGTCTGCAGGCCGATGCTCTAACCACTGAGCAAAACTGGCAAGAGCAAGATTGGACTCCACTTCAAGCAATACGTATTTATCAAACACCTACTCTGGGCAGGGATTTGTGTTAGTGGTAATGAAAGCCAGGATAGGGTTATAGAGACTAAACTCAGTTCTTTAGATAACTTCAAATCATTACTTCATTAATGTTAAATGGTCAGTTTGTTACTTTCTGTCTGAACCATGTTAAGTATCTTGGCATACAAGATTTAGGCTTTGTTTGGTTGGTTTTTCATTTTGTTTTTGTCTACCAGAAGTCTTATCTTTGTCATCATTGTTTATATTTTATCACTATTTGGAAATTATCCCAAAATTGAAAAGAATCCCTTTAAAGGGAGAATATATAAAACCACTGAGAGGATCAAGATCTAAAAACAACTTGCTATGCAGCTTAGTAAGTGCTGTCTTATATTTTCTCATGTAAGTCCACATTAGTCCTGTGGGTAGATAGCATGTTCATTTTACAGAGAAGAAAACTGAGGTGCAGTGTCTCCTCACTGAGGTCCTGTGCTAGGAAATGGCCAGTCCTGAGACCCCTCCCTGGATCTGAGTCCTCTAACTCCTCCAAGTTCCTTGCTCATTTTGCCAGGCGGCATAGGCCTTGTGGCCAGCCAGGACCACTGTTTGCCCAGAGATACTATGTGTGGCCCCGAATTTTATCCATGTCCCTTAGGGAATGCTGTGTAAGCAGTAGCCTGAGGTACTAGTCCTCAGCAGGCCTATTCCTCAGAGGTCAGTTGCCTGAAGTAGTCCTGCGCCATGGGTTTAATTACCGACTTTTATTGTTTGTCCTTGATGGTGAATCACTCTGCTGTGTGGAACACAGATTCTCTGTTAATACAAACACAGATCAAACTCAGTATTTCAGCAGGGGGAAATGTTCCCTGGGTTTGGAAGAAATGTAGAAAAATTCTAACTACTTGCTTTGGAGAAACTGGCAAGTGGCATACTTAATATTATGACTGTGACTGAGTTGATCACATAATACAAAGAGATGTTTATAGATTGCTAAAAAATTCTTACAGTGATTATAAAAGCATATATAGCTGGCCATTTGATTTGGCACAGGTCTGAAATGAAAGGGAAACCATTTTTTAAAAATTTATTTTGTGAGGTAAATAAATAAAGTTGGAAAACAGGTCAATTTCATGCATGCAAGGTTTTATAGTAGGAAACTAATTCATTGCACCTGTTCTGACCCTTTACATTTGAGGTTATTTGTTTTCAAACTTGACCCCAAGCACCATTTTCAGACAATGCTACAATTAATTTGTTAGATAAAGCTTAAGGATATTTTATTTGTTTTTATTTCTGGTGAAGTAGTAACTGAAATTACTAACCTATTGTACATAGCAGTTAATTAAAGAAAAGCATTAACTATAGGAGAACACCACCACTGCTGTTGTCTTGTATCAGTATAAAAAGGCAGTAATTTTTTTGACAGCCACTGATTGGAAAGTTGCTTGCAGCCTTACAGAAGCAAGGGGGTACATGCTGTGGATCAATAACCGGCAAATTTCCCATTAAAAAGAATACCTGAGCAATGTTCCAAATAGCCACTGGCATCTTAATTTTCCATGGAAACCTCAAACACTGGTGTGCTGAGGACAAGTCATTTTCGGACAATTTTTCCAGACTACTTGTTAACAGTTATTGCTGTCCCAAAAGGTTGACAGCCTACATGATTGATATTTCATTTACTTGTCATCACTGTTTGAGTAATGGCAAGCACTATATTTCTGGGGTTTTAAGGAATATAGTCTCCTGAAAGACATTCACCTTAGTATGTATTCCAGAGAATGTCACGTATGTTTATGCTGATATATATAAGGTTTTATATACATAGAAGGAGAGGCTCACTTTCCTTTACAGTTTGAAAGTCCTTGGAGAGCAAGGTACTCTCATATCAGTCCATATCTATCAAAAATTCATCTTCACTTTGTTTTTAGGGCACAGAGCCTTAGATTTGTTAACTTCTGATTTCCAAGATGATATAGAATTTAAGGTGTAGAAATAAAGAATAAAGGATTACCTTTATTTCTGAGGGAAACAAAAAACTTGATCTAGTTATAATTAAATGTTCATAAAAACAATATAAGAAGACATGTGTATATCTTCTAAAAGAGAAACTTACAAATGTCAGCAAATAATTATCAAGGAAGAATTTCCTGAAAATGTAGTAGTTAAATAACGTCTGTTTGTTTTTAATATAAAGCAGCAAAGATTAAAGAAAGGTTAGTTCTACTTTGTGACAACCCCTCAAAACACAAAATCATCAGTTCTCGTTGATATTTTGCCACCAAGAACATCACTTTGTTGTTTGTCAAGTCTTAAGGAAGTGAGAGCACAGAAGTGATCTCCAAGTTGGGTGGACATAGGCTCATCGATTAGCATGTTGAGGATAATGGCAATCAGACTATAATACAACCTCCTGAAGGAATCTGTTTCTGAAGAAGTGTGAGAGCTGTTTCACTTAGAACTTTATTTTTTGTACCCAGAATTTTAAAGTGTTTATACGATTAAAGCATAAAAGGTATGTTTGCTTGAAACTGGGCTTCCTTTATATCAAATTATCCTATCATCTTTGGATGGATAATATCTTGTTTTTTCATTCTGTAGTCACTATGACTTAGATTTCCATTATCTGTGCATTTTATACCTAAATATGAATAATGTTTGATTAACTAACTGGCAGAGAGGTCCAAGCTAAAAGTGAGTCATCTTCATTTTGTTTTACAAAATCCAGGGGAAAAGAACAAGAGGCAGTTTGAGGAATTTCCACTAAAATGCTTTGTGTGTGTGTTTTTTTTAATACATTTTATTTTCAAAATACGTCTACAGATCAAATACTTATTTGAATTCTTAATCAATAGTTTTACTTTTAAAGATAAATGACAGTGTAGAGGATAACATTACACTGGACTTTCAATCTAGAATATTCACTATAGTCATTTTAATGTGCAAATGGGGACAAAGTATTCTTGAGGCTGATATGTATACCAGCAATTTACAAAAGCACTATGAATTAAACAACCCATAAGTGCCTGTTCCAGTATTCATACATTACTGAGTAATCTCTTTCTGTAATCTCTTTGCAGTATTATTCCACAGTAATGGAACAGCAAGTAAATGGACAGTTAATAGAGCCTCTGCAGATATTTCCAAGAGGTAATGTTGAACAAATTCTAATCAACAATGATTATTTCAGTAAACTGGTTCATCAACAGTTATGTTTTCCAAAGGTTTAAATGCACATAACATGATGTTTAGCTCTTAATTTGAAAAAAAACAAAAGAAGTATTCATTATCGTGGGGATTGCAGACTATATTATAGTTATGGCAGATAAAATATCTAATTTACTAGAGTAAATTAAACTAACTAGATTGTTTTTTGTTTTTGAAGTACATACTTACATTCGCTTAAAGAACTCTTTGGGGGTCCACATGGTTTCTAAAGCATTATAAATGAATGACTTTAATTTTAGATATTTATAAACTGTGGCTCATAATGGTAGCCAAAGCTGCTGCTGTGGAGAAAGCTTTCAGCTAGTACAGAAGCTAAGGTTTACCAAGGAGCTTTAGGAGGGAGTTTTTGGTAAAATGTTTGGTGCTTGGTTTTTGGGGGTGCCACTTTCTAAATAAGGAAAAATCCTCATAAATAGGAATTTAATTGTTAAGTCTCCAAAAATATAAGCTGATTAAGGTAAGTCTTGGTGAATCACTTAGTTAAATAATTTGCTTTTTCCCTTTTAGGTTTGTCACTACTAGCCTTATATCAGATAGTGATTGTTCACTTGTATATATATAAACGTTTTCTCAAAATTTGAGTAATGGAGGAAAGGAATAGTTTAATTATATAAACCATTAAGTCTTTCACCCATTATACATTGCCCCACTTGGAATCCATATTTTCTAACTGATGGAACAGATAAGGACATTCTCTAAGTTACTCTTCTAGAAATAACTTAATTGAAATAATTGAAAGTTAAACTTTACCTTCGTTAACTGATACTGTACAAATAATCGTGGTATGAGTTTTCTAATTAAACATTCTAGACTTTCATTACCTGTAACACTCTGAAGTTTGAATGGCTCAATTAACTATTAGACTCTTGCACTGATATAAAGTCCCCAAAGGCAGCTGACTTGGCCAGCCCACAAGAAGATCTGGGTTCAAGAGCTGTGCCGCTCTTCTAGCATTGATGTAGTGGTGGGATTGAGAGTTATCAATAACTTATGTAAGAGCTAAATGAAATTGGGCTATTGACAGTTTGTCTGAAGCAGGGATTATGATTAATCCAATTCTGTTGCACTTGACTAAACACTAGAAGAAGAAAAAAAGAAAGGGAAAGAAATGTTGCCATTTTTGTATATTAGGCCAATAACAAGGATGTAGATTGTTTCAAACTATTTTTAATGACTGGAGAATTTGGTTAAGTTGCAAAATTGTTTCTGTATAAGGAATATTTTTTTACCTGCTTGAAAATTTCCATTAATTGCTTTCCTACTTGATGGCATTGTGGCTCTGCCATTACAGCAAATCCTAGTATAGAATCCTGGAAAATCACAGGTTAATGCTGTGGGCCTTTGTGTTGCTGTCTTTCTTTTTCCAAAAAAATATTTACTTTTTCTCTAAAATCTTTTAAATTTTTTTTCATTTTGTGAGAAGTCCCTGTCATTGTGACTATATCACTGTGCCCCCTCCCATGATAATAATTTTTAGACATCTGCCCTGTTCAAGTACCAACATTGCTTTCAATATTATTATTTCTAATTCTTCCAACAGTTTTGCCTATTAGGTATTATTGCTTTTATTGTATAGATAAGAATGTTGAAGTTCAGGGAAATTAAGTAATTTCAGAATCACACAATTTATAAGTGGTTAATGTACCCTTTGAGTAAGAATTTTGTTTAAAATATAATTTGCTGAAAATAGAAAGGCAGTTTTTCTTTTTGTCTTCTGGGAATAGTGACTTCAGGCATTAACAGTGGCCCAGCATTTGATATACCAGTGAAAGTTGTCCTACAATACAGCCTCTAGCAAAACTAGGCTTTCCTGAACCCCTGATAGTAGAATTATGTCCCTTTTATACGAAGAAGATTGGGAAAACCTCAAAATCTGCATATGACATGTACCCAGGCTGACTTCTTGGAGTTCGTGCTGTGAGACCTAAAGTTCTAATGAGGTTGTCTAAAATGGAAAAACACGTCAGCAGGGCCTGTGGTGGATTCGTGTGTGCTGAATGTGTCCATGACGGGATCATTGTGCAAGTATTGAAGGCACAAGCACAGAGTCAGAAGCTAAATAAAATTTTTAAATGAAGCTTTTTTTTTAGTAATAAAATCATTTAAAGGCTTGTTAAAAAAAAAATAGAAGGGCTTATAAGTTAAAATATTAGTGGTGTGCACGGGGGTAGTGTGAAGGAATTTGTGGGAGTATGGAGGAAGAAGAGTGTAAGGTAGAGACAAGATACTGAAAAGAAGAAACTAAATGAGATATGAGTGTCACATACATTCCTAGCACAGAACCTATTAGGCTCTAATTTATTAAAGTTCTTCTGTGCCAAATTTAAATGTTTAAAAATATGAGACTCAGTTTCTCTACCTCTATGTGTGTTTGTTTTTTTGCATGCTATTGTACAACTCTTTAGTTTTTGTAGTCTTTTGCTTTTTGCTTACTTATCTACATCATGTATAGATAAGTGAGATGATGCAAACTTGTACAATTAGGATATAAACATTTTGGGTATATTAACTGGGTCTATGTAGTTGGTCAGAGGCCCTCAGACCTTACATTCTATGGTCAGGCCCCATGTTAAAAATAATTTTTGGCCTGGCCAGTGTGGCTCAGTGGTTGAGCATTGACCCATGCACCAAGAGGTCCCTGGTTCAATTCCTGGTCAGGGTACATACCCAGGTTGTGGGCCCGATCCCCAGTGGGGGGCATGCAGGAGGCAGCCAATCGATGTTCTCTCTCATCAATGTTTCTCTCTCCCTCTCCCTTCCTCTCTCTCTAAAATCAACAAATAAAAATAATTTAAAAATAATAAAATAATTAAAAAATAAAAATAAAGAATTTCTGGACTGGATAAGTGAGAAAGACAGGAGATGAAGTTTCTGTTCTAGCATCAGATGTTCTCTTTATTCTAAGGAGGACAATTGCTTTGGATGGTAACTCCCAGCTCATGGTCCTCTCTGCTGTTAAATATGTTAAATGTTAGTAAGTGTGAACATTTACTAGCTTTATAGTAATTTCTGACTCTATACTTAGGAACTATGAGGTTACTAGGTTTTCTGAATACTGGTTAGATTTTCAGTCATAAAGGTTTGAGAAGCCAATTGAGGGGTGTGGCAGATGGTAAGAGATAAAGAGTTGATGCCTGTCTCTATTCCTTAGATAGCCACTTTCTTATTTATTCCACTGGGTACTTCACTAGAAATATTCTGAAATGTTGTCTTAGGAAGTATTAGTGGTCTCTAAAGCACCAAGCATCAAATTTGTGTGACTGTTATTTTGTTCAAAAATTTAATTTCCATTTTAAGGAAAGATTTGGAGCCTTAATTTTAATCTATTTTAGAAAAACAAATACAAATCATTAAAGTTTTAGATATATTTTCTAGGGAAATAATAAATTTAAATATACTGGAAATATACAAATTTAAAACTACTGATGTACTTTGTAATTATTACTCATATTATTATTATTATTAAACAACTGTATTTCTTGTTGTCAGAAACAGGAAAAATACATGTACATCTGGGAGAGGAGCAAAAAAAAATCAAATTCATCCTTCCCCAAACAATCTATCAAACTTGACAGCCCCTTAACATATAATATGTAGGGCACTGTAGTTTTCAGATGGAAGCAGCCTATAACATGGGCAGGAAGCTTTTGTATTTTTAACACTTGATAAAGAAGCATTTACTGAATTGGAAAAATATCAACCTCTAACTCAATATGGTGTCAGGAAATTAATATTATTTTTCTTGGCACTGTTTTATCTGTAAACTTAAATATTAGCAGATGCCAAGATTTGCAAGAAATGTAGTAAACTTAGTGAGACCTCTGTATTTTAATAAATTTGACTGCTTATTGCTGTGCAAACGAATACTATTCAGACTTGAATATTCCATCTTAGAATCTCTAACAATCATTTTGGCTTTAAGGGACCCTTCTCCCACTCCTCCGTGCCCTCCCCCCCCAAACCTAGCCATTTTCAAAGTAGTTTAAGTGATAGCAGATATACACTGTAATAAGAGTGAGAAAAGATTGCAGAAATTTGAATTATGAAAGGAATATAATCATTTTAGCTCGGTTAACTTGATTTTTATATGTTTTAAGCAGAAATTAGAATTTATATGAGGTGGTGTCAGAAAGCTCTTTGCATTTATAAATGCTCACTCCTGCAAGTTAAAAACCCTGGTTCATAATTCCCACTTTGGGTCTTGGGAGCCACTTTTCAATCATTTCTCTCTGCTAATTTTGGTGTCACCCTCATTTCTTTTTAAACGATTCATTTTGAGCAAATTTGTAAATGGCCCTGATGTGTTCTACAATTTAGTCAATTACTGTTTCAGCCTGCAAGCCTCCTGGGGAACGGAACATACATGGCCTGAAGGTACGAATTTCAATAATTGTTTCAGTAAAGTTAGATGGATTTGTAATGCTGTGTTCCACTTATTGAAATGTCAAATAAAACTGCACTTTCTCAAGCTCTGACAAGCAACCCCCCCCCTTTTTTTAAAAATGGGAGGTGGAGGGGGATTCATCTGTAGTATTTGCTTAATATGTATATATATTTGGATACAGGGGTTTTGTTGCTATATATTTTATTATTTAGAATTGTTTTGTTGGTCTGTTTCTTCAGAATGATCTTGGGTACTGGTCTCCACAAAGATTTATTTGAGTGAAAATATAGGCTTCATTTCAGTGATTAATTAAGCACATAAGCATACTGCTCACAGAATACCCCCCTCTTCTTTTGACATATTTATGCTAGAAACATATCTATTTAATGTCTTTTCATTGTTCTGTTTATTTTGAATTCTGGATTTCTGTTTAAGGGTTTACATTTGAAGGAAAAACTGGCTTTTAGATGCAACCATTTTATATATAATTAATTACTTGGACTTCATTTTTTAGTGAACATGGAACATTCTACAGTGTTCTGCTCAGTTTTAGAGCTGGAAGTATATGACAGCTTGAGGTTAACTATTAACTCCTGGATGTATTCTTAATGTACTTTTTTTAACATAAGCGTTTTGGGTTTTTGTGTATGAAACAAAACAAAACAGGAAATAGAATTTTTTTCTCTAGAATTAAATTTAGTTCTAGACAGTGAACTGAAATTTTTCCTCTATTTATTGTTTCTCTTTTTCGGCACTGTGTTAAGTATTTGAATGACAGTAATAGAGTGTTATATAATATACAGGTTGTATAGTTCTGTAACCTATATACTAAATAGACTCCAACCATGGGTCTGTCTAGTAAGAAGCTAATTAACCTTCATAGTAAGAGAAATTTGTGGCAAATTATAGGTTAATTAGAACTGTATCCTCAGAACACAAAACTGATCAAGATTCTGTCTTTACTTGAAGGTGAACACCAGGGCCGGACCCTCTCAACACAGCAGTCCAGCAATCTCCGACGCACTTCCAAGCAACAGGTGAGAGCAAGAGTGGAGTGTACCCTAGCATGACTGTCTATAAAGATGGGGGGGATTCATGGGATGTCACCTCTTTTCTGTAAGACTAAAAAAATGTGTATGTGGCCAAGAAAAAATTTGACCAGGTAGGTAACTCTAGCTATGTATTTGACCAAAGAGAAAGGACCTCATAGAGAAAGATGAAATTCAACATTTTAAACTGTTAATTTTTTGGTCTACAGAATGGTTTTCCTTCAGTTACCAAATTATACATAAAATTCAGTGCCTTTGATTATTTAATGCTTTGTTGATCTGGTTTATAAATTGTTTAATGTCTTTTTTTTCTTGCTTGTCCATCCTTTTTAGCAGTATCATTATCCACTAACTTCTTAACCAGAAAGAAGCAAAGAAAGAGTAAAGTGGTACATTTTAATTGACCAGCCACGTTGCTCATTTTTGTATCTTTGGTTGCATAGGAAAGTGAAACTCTTTTGAAAGGAAGATAATTTTCATTGATTCATGCTAACATTGCCCCACACTATGATGGATACTAGAGACTTGAGGTTTTCAAAGTGTTTTTCTGACAGGCTTGAGAACTTCCAGGTTTCTTGAAGAATCTACTTGAGAATCATGGTGCTCAAGTAGAAGGAGGGCCCTGCTTAAGTTTATAGAATTCTAGGTCATTTTTGTTATACATTCAGTTATGCAGCTAGTAAACATATTATTGTACATGTATACCGAGGAGATAGTGTGGGTTCCATTCTAGACCACCACAATAAAGGAAATATCGCAGTGAAGCTAGTCACATGAATTTTTTGGTTTCCTAGTGCATATAAAAATTATGTTTACACTATACTGAAGTCTGTTAAGTGTGCAGTAGCATTATATCTAAAATAATATGCATACCTTTATTAAAAAATACTTTATTGCTACAAAATATTAACTATTATCTGAGCCTTCAGCAAATCCTAATCGTTTTGCTGGCGGAGGGTCTTGCCTCAACGCTGATGGCTGCTGACTGATCAGGGTGGTAGTTGCTGAAGGTTGGGGGTGGCTGTGGCAATTTCTTTTTTTTTTAGTCCTCACCTGGGGATATTTTTCCATTTATCTTCAGGTAGAGTGGGAGGGAGAAAAAGAGACAGAGAGAAAGTGAGGGAAACATCAGTGTGAGAGACACGCATCAACTGGTTGCCTCCCACACAACCCTGACCAGGGCCGGGGACCGAACCGCAACTGAGGTACGTGCCCTTGACTGGAATCAAACCCGCAACTCTTTAGTCCACAGGCCGACGCTCTAACCACTGAGAAAACCGGCCAGGGCAAATTTCTCAAAATAAGACAGCAGTGAAATTTGTTGCAGCCATTAACTCTTCCTCTCAGAATGATTTCTTTGTAGCATGTAATGCTATTTGATAGCATTTTACCCACAGTAGAGCTTCTTTCAAAATTAGTCAATTCTCTCAAACCCTGTCACTGCTTTATGTAATATTCTAAATCTTCTGTTGTCATTTCAACAGTGTTTACATCATCTTGACCAGGAGTAGATTCTATCTCAAGAAACCACTTCCTTTGCTCAGCCATGAGAAACAACTCCTCAGGTGTTAAAAGTTTTATCATGAGTTGCAGCAATTTACTCACATATTCAGGCTCCACTTTAAATTCTAGTTCTCTTGCTATTTCCACTACATCTGCAGTTACTTCCTCCACTGAAGTTTAAACCCTTAAAAGTTACCCATGAGGGTTGGATTCAGCTTCTTCTAAACTCCTGTTAAAGACCCTGGCCAGTGTTGCTCAGTAGTTAGAGCATCAGCCTGTGCACTAAAGAGCATTGTGTTTGATTCCTGGTCAAGGGTACATGCCTGGGTTGCAGCTTCCATTCCCAGCTCCTGTCAGGGTCATGTGAGAGGCAACCAATTGATGTGTCTCTCTCACAAAGATTTCTCTCTCTCTCTCTCTCTCTCTCTCTTCCTTTCTTCCTCCCTTCTTCCCTTCCACTTTCTCTAAAAATCAATGGAAAAAATATCTTCATTTGCAGATTAACAAACAAAAACAAAACTGTTAATGTTGATTTTTTTTTTTTTTTTTACCTCTTCCCATGTATCATGAATGTTCTTAACGGAATAAAGAATGGTGAATTATTTCCAGAAGGTTTTCAATTTACTTTGTCCAGATCCATCAGAGGAGTCACTATCTATGGCAACTATAGTCTTACAAAATCTATTTTTTAAATAAGATTTGAAAGTCAAAATTACTCTTTGATCCATGGGCTGCAGAATGGATGTTGTATAAGCAGATGTGAGTACAACATTAATCTCATTGTACATCTTTGTCAGAGCTCATGGGTGACCAGGAACATTGTCAATGAGCAGCAATATTGGGAAATATATATATATATATTTTTTTTTTGCATAGTAGGTCTCCACAGTGGGCTTAAAATATTTAGTAAACGATGTTGTAAACAGACATGCTGTCATCCAGGCTTTGATGTTCCATTATGGAGCACAGGCAGAGTAGATTTAGCATAGTTCTTAAGGGCCCTAGGATTTTCAGAATGGTAAATGAGCACTGGCTTCAATTTTAACTCTCCAGCTGCATTATCCCCTAACAAGAGAGTCAGCCTGTTCTTTGAAGCTTTGAAGCTTTCATTGCCTTCTCCTCTCTAGCTGTCTCTTGAATACTTAGAGGCCATTGTAGGGTTACTAATCGGTCTGATTTCAATATTTTTGTGTGTCAGAGAATAGGGAGGCTGGAAGAAAGAGACAGACACACAGGGGAATGGCCAGTCATTGCAGCCATCAGAGCACACACATTTATTGATTAACTTTGCTGACTTATCTGGATGTGGTTCATGGTACCCCAAAACAATTACAATAGTAACATCAAAGGTCACTGATCACAGATCACCATAACAAATAAACTAATAATGAAGAAGTTTGAAATATTCCAAGAATTACTAAAATGTGATTCAGACACAAAATGAGTAAATGCTGTTAGAAAAATGCCGCCAATAGATTTTCTCAACACAGGATTGCTGCAAACCTTCACTTTGTAAAAAACACAGTATCTGCAAAGTAAAATAAAGCAAAGAGCAATCCATGAGGTATGCCTGTACTTGAAGATGACCCTGTGAAGGTGATTGATCTGTGTGTATGTATTCACACTGGTGACTGACAGGCCAACATCAAACCACAAAACACTTCCATTCTGTGCCCAGGTTTTTCTGGATTTGGGGCTGTAGCCAGTATTTGCACATCCCTTTATCAACTGAGATGTAGTTGAGGCTTCTACTTTCCCTTCCATACCTTTCCTTCCCCTCTTAACCCAGAGTCTTGTTTTTTTGTTTGTTTGTTTTTTGCCAGGGGACTGTACTGTAGGTAATTTAAAGTCTCTCCTTCTGACTCTGTCTTTACTCTCCTGTCCCTTCCCCAAAAGTCACTTCCTTGATTTTTTTATTGTAGTGTCAGTATATCTACCCACCAGGTTTCCTGCTATGAGCATACTACTCTTAAAGTATGTTTCTTTTTTAAAAAATGTTTTTTCTTTATTGATTTTAGAGAGAGACAAAGGGAGAAGGAGAGAGAGAGAAAAAAACATTGATGAGGGAGAATACCGATTGACCGCCTTCTGCATGCTCCCCACTGGGAACTGGGCCCACAACCTGGGCTTATGCCCTGACCGGGAGTTGAACTGCCAACCTCTTGGTGCATGGGTCGACGCTCACACCACTGAGCCACACCAGTGGGAAAAGTATGTTTCTTTCTTACACACTTCATTCTATCTTAATTTACAGCCTGGTTATTCACCAGTGGATCATCTGATCTTTTAGTTCTCATCCAGGGGCTTGGCCCTGCCAGGCAATGCTTTGTAGCTTCTCTCTTCCTGCTTGTTGGGCCTGTGAGCCATGGTCCAACAGAGTGGAGGTGTGGGGACTGAGGGTCATTCATTCCACTCAACTCAAAGAGGGTAGGGCATTTAATTACTACCACTACTTCCAGAAAAGATGTTGTGCAGACAGAGAGACCATGAACCTTGAGGAAAAGACCAAGATTTTCCCTGGTGTTTTAGGTCAAATTTTACAATGTTATAAAAAGAGGATAGCCTTGAAAAAGATAGTAAGACAGAAGAAGCAGGATAAATTTTCAGTTCTCTCAGGTTTGGTTTTTAACAACATGAGTGGATTAGCTTGGTTTTTTAAGAAATATAATTTATATCCGGAGTATTATAAAATCTTTGGGTTGGACGGAGACAGTCTGATCTAGTGGTACTCAGCCTTTTGTTGCAACATCTTCTCTTGGGTGTGACAGCCTCCCAAATAGTAACAGTTGTTTGGTCCAGTAGTGATTTCTGTTATAGGAGGAATGCAATTTGAAAAAGTCCTACAGGTGATTTTAATGTGCCACCCTGGGTTGACCATTTCTGTGCCTCATGTTGATAATGAATCAACAGTATTTATTGAGTGTCTTCAGTTCATTAGGTGCTCTCCTACACACTAGGAATACAATGTGGTCCTTATCTGTTGGAGCTTGCTATCTTAAAAGTACAAAGACAGAAAAATCCAAACATACAAATAATTATACTTTATAATTCATTATAAAGGAAACAAGTTTTTTTTTAATAAGAACATTTTATTTTTATTTATTTATTTATTTTATTTTTTTATCTTTACCCAAGGGCACTTTTCCATTTTTTGTTCAGATAGAGTGGAAGGGAGAGAGAGAGAGAAAAACATCCATGTGTAAGGGACACATCGAGTGGCTGCCACCCGCACGACCCAACCAGGACCGGGGACAAACTGCAACCAAGGTGCGTGCCCTTTGTGAGAACCGAACCAGATCTCTCTAGACCACAGGCCGACGCTCTAACCGCTGAGCCAAACCGGCCAAGGCGAAACAAGCAAGTTTTGAAGAGAGAACACACTAGGCAGGACTATGTTAGATTTAGACTGAGTGCTCTGAGAAGACTCTCCGGGAAGGATGAGAAGGGCCTAGCTACATCGAGAGCCAGAGAAGGGCATGTCAGAGGGAGGGGAGAGCATACCCGGAAGAGGAGCTCAGCATGTCTGTGAGTAGGCCAGTTTGGCTGACGCACAGGGAGGGGTGCTGAGTTGGGGGAAAGTGTGGAGAGGGGAGAAGAGCAATAGCAGTGATGGGAGAGAAGGAGGTAGGTGGGAGCTAGATCATGCAGGGCCTTATGTTTTCCTCTCAGTGTATTAGCAAACCATTGGACAACCTTTAGCAGGAGCATGCCTTGGCCAGCTCTCTGTTTATAAGACTCTTAGCCTGTGTGGAGAATGAGAAGGACAAGCCCCAATCTAATCCTGCTCTCTGTAGGTGCTTGGCTCCTCACTCCTTGCCAGATGATCATCCAGGCCCTTCCTAAACATCTCTGTGGCAGGAATACACTTTATTGGCCAAGGCAACCCCTTCCGTTTTCATGTAGCTAAATCTTAGAACGTTCTTTTTTGTGAGCTGAGATTTGTCTCCCTTTATTATCCACTCAAAGATTTGATTTAGCACTCAGAAAAAGGCTGTTTTCTCTTCTAGGTGATAACTCTTCCAGTCATCTTCCCTCTAAACATTCTTCTAGGTCTCCTATCTTGGTAAAGTCTCCTGTATCTTCCCAGTCAGTCAACTGCCCTGCCTCCTAAGGGTCCCTCAGCCCCACATACAGTCAGTCCCTACATTTGTAGGTTCTTCCTTCTGGAATCACTGTCGTGTTAGTCTGCTTGCTAGCACCCCTGTTGCTGCAAAGGTCATTCAGGCTCTAGATCACTGCTGCAGCCTCCTAATAGTTTCCTCCCTCTGGTCTTGCCCTGCTGAAGTCCCTCCTTCACACTGCAGTCAGAATAATCTTGCTAATGTGAATTCTGAGCCCATCATTTCCCCTTTTACTACTTCTCACAATCTTTCAGGTGAAGTGTACCCTTCACAGCAGATGAGCACTAGCCTTTAACATGTGGGTGCTCTGCCCAGTCCAGCCCCCTGGGCTGCCACTCTTCCCTTTCTTACCTGACATTCCAGGTCTGCTGATGAATGTGTGGTGCCCTTAATGGATCACGTTTCCTCTCATTACTGGGGTTTTTTACATCTGCTGCTGCCTCTTTTCTACTTTGCTTCTCTTTTAATCCTCCACCTTCAGTCTGGCTAACCTTGGTCATCTTTGAGGAACAAAGCTGTTATCTTCTAAAAACCATCCCTGATTATTATGCACTTTCCAGTCTATACCAGTTACCCCTTCTATGAATTCCCATAATCCTCCTGTGCTTGCCTTACTGTAGCGGTTAGCACATTGTATTATAATCACCTCTGTCCCTAGTAGATTCTGTGCTCTTTGAGGGCAGTGACTGTAACATTCATTGTCAAATTCCAAATTCCTGGAATGATGCTTGGGATATAGGTGATAGTAATGCTTGAATGAATGAATTAACGAACAAACTAGCTAACTAACCAACTAACTAACTTAGATGCCCTTTAAGTCTTGTCTCTGGATTAAATTCTCCCAACTCATTTAGCTTTTCTGATTCAACATTATTTCTAGTCCTCTCACCATTTTACTCTTCTTTGGATGTATCAGTGTTCCTCTTAAAGTGTCATAACCAGGTTATAATTGTATTACACTTAAATTTTAAAAAGATTTTAAGAATGATTTTTAAAAGTCATTGTGACCAGACAAGTAAACAAATTATTGAGTAAACTGGGGCACAAAGAAACTGCTACAATACATAGATATAATTTTTTAATCTAAATTTCTGAGTTCTACTCCAGACCTTTTATTTATTTATTTATTTATTTTTAATTTTTCTTTATTGATTTGTAGAGAAAGAGGAGGGGAGAAGGAGAAAGCTAGAACCATCAATGAGAGAGAACATCAATTGGCCGCCTCCTGTATGCCCCGCACTGGGGATCGGGCCCACAACCTGGGCATGTGCCCTGACCGGGAACCGAACCGGCAACCTCTTGATGCATGGGTCGACGCTCAACCACTAAGCCACACTGGCCAGGCCATAGATATAATTTTTTACCAGAAAAAGCTGGCAGCCAGATATTGGCATAATGAATGAAATCAGCTTTTTCCTCTGTTACTCTCACAACATGAATTGGTCTTTGCCTTAGGTGGATGGCTTTTTATTAAACGGAGTTTACTATTGACATGGTGTTCATAGGCCATAATTATGGAATTCAAATCCCACTGCCAAGGCAAGGTCTTTCCCAAATATCTTAGTTTTCTCTTTCTATAAAATTAGGATGATTAGCCTGGCTGGTGTGGCTCAGTGGTTGAGTGTCAACACACGCACAAAGAGGTTGCTGGTTCGATTCTCGGTCAGGGCACATGCCCAGGTTGTGGGCCCAATCCCCAGTGGGGGGCTTGCAGGAGGCGGCCAGTCTATGTTCTCTTTCATCGATGTTTCTATCTCTCTCTCCCTCTCTCTAAAATCAATAAAGAAAATATTTTTAATTAAAAAAAAGTAGGATAATTAGGCTTTTTATCTACCTCTGATGTTAGAAGATTGATAAAATTATATTAAGGAATCACATTTTGTTTCTTGGATGAAAGGTATTTTGTAAATGCAGTGAATCAAAATGTTATTATTTCAAGTTGTATAATAAAATGGAATATCTGTGGAAAAACATTGCCTGGGCATTGTTTGGTTATTTGTTTTTACAGTTATTTAGTAAATTTGGAGTCATCTATAGGAATAGAAGGATCTAAATGTTTCTCAGAAAAAAAAAAAGTGTGTGTGTTTGTATGTTAGAGATAGGCTGACTTTGAGCAAGGTCTGTACTTTAATTTTTTTAAATAAATTAGGAGTAGCTATACCCTACAGGCCAGTATTCCTAAACTCATGCACAGGGTATAGTTATTGAAAGGATTACATCAGGATAATAAGTAATAACATTTAGCACAGTGCCTGGCATGTGGTCCTCAGTAAATGGTAGCTGCTGTTATTTTAACTGGACTGATTCTAGGCAGGTGTTTATTTTTTTTATATATGTTTCAGCTTTAGTTCCATTTTACAGAATTCTTTACTGCATGGATTCTTAGACTTGGGAGGACATTATTAAAGTTTAGAACCCTTGGTTGAGGTCATGTTTTATTAAGTCTGAGGAAAGCAGAGACTTCATAGTCTGCATTTGACCATAGCAGAAGTTTAAGAAGTATTTAGAAGAATAATAATTATTACTTGGAATAGTGAATGTGGCCAAACTTGAAGTCTGCAGTTTTCTCAAATATAATTTATTAGAAATGCCAAATGAGTGTGTGTGTGTGTGTGTTGTCACACACAAACATATAACAATCAGAACAATGATCACTATTTATTGAACACTTAGCACATGCTAAATCACTGAGCTAGGTTCAAGGGTGGGAAGAGAATGGAATACATAGATAGGTGAGTAAGTTGTGGTTTGTGTTCTCAGGGAGTTTTCAGTCTTGGAGGAGGTGTGGTGGGATGAAAGGCATCTATCTAAACAGATGACTAACACAGGGAGGAGAGTTACTTTGGAAGTTGAGGTCAGAGAGAATAAGTAACCTGTCCCAGAGCCCACAGCTAATGAGTACCAGAATTTATTTCTACTACACATTATCTTCCCAGGAAGTGAATTGTAACTCTAATTGTAATAAAAGATCAGAATTTAAACCCTTTTATCTTTTGAAGTTCTATAATCTTTGTTTGTTGTGAACACTCTAGGAGTATATTGTTAGGTACTTTGTATTTAGCAGATGAAGAGTCCACATAAAATAGCCACTGAAAGGCTACCCAAAGGCAGCAGAACTAAAAGCCAGAAAAAAAAAAAAAGTCACTGAAGGTAGTGTACAATATTCTAGCTTCATTTTGACTGTAGGCTTCTTTATTGCTTTAAATTACTAATGGGGTTCCAGTCTTTTTATTAATAGTTTTGCCATTTGACCAGCTACTTTTTGAAAAATATACAAGGAGAAGGATGAAAAGAGTGTAGTCTCTGTATATGTGTTTTACTCTGGAATTTCCAGTGGTGTTCAAAGATGCCGATCTTGCCGTTAAAAATTATCCTTCCCTTTTCAGCTTAAAGAAGTCTTCTGCTGAACTGAAAAAAATACTAGCCAATGGTCAGGTAAGTGTCATTACATATTAACATTTTCAGACAGTAGTAACTTTTATTACTATCTAGTTTTTGTATCCATAAACTTAACAACCAGATAAAGAGTCCTTGAATGTCTTCTTGTCATAAATGAATTACATGGCTTAATTTGATTGGCAGGACAATTTGCAGCACGTTTTTCAAACTGTGCTAATGGGTTTCACTCCCGGCAGATTGAAGTACCATGCACATACCCTGCTGCCTTCTCAGTTTAAAAAAAGTTAATCAGTTCTGAACAAGTGTGTCAACCCATGGGTTGTCGAAATGGCCCTATATCCTGAGGTGACTGTTTCTTTCATTATCTTCGGAGAGAAAAAATAAAACCAAACTGTTACTTTCCCACCATAGCACAGTTCTTTTGTCCTGAAACTAACACTGGCTTTTTAGGGAATTATAATAACAGCAGATCTTTGGCGTTTAAAATTCCTAGGCTTTAGGAGCCCTGGTTTGCCTAGTCCACAGGCCATCTTAAGGCTGCATGACCTAACCCACCCAGTGAGGGACAAACAGACCTGCAGTCCCCTTATTTCTCACTAATTTTGATTCAAGTAAATGGACACATCTGAAATAGTATAGTGCTTTTAAACATACACTGGTAAATTAAGCTACCTATAGGGTCCTCGATTCTTCAATAGCAACATAAATGTGTTTTAATGTTTGTTATCGAGGAAGCCCTTTGATAGCCTTGGAGGCAGGCGCCTGTCCATTGCGATTAAGCCTGCCTATTAGGCTCTATTGACTGAGACATCTGTGTCACTGCAAATAAAAGACTCTTATTGATTTTCTTAACTGCTGTTCACTTCCCGTCCATGTTTCGAAGGCTGAAATCTTAATTATCTCAGATGCTTATTCAGTGCCTTCACACACTGACCTCTCCAAGCCTCATTGGCATTTCATGAATCAAGTACTTGTAGCGGAGCATGTCAAGAAGACAAAGCTGGGTCCTCATGCTTGTCCTTTAATATCACCTGTAACTTTGTGGCCTAATAGATGCGTGTGCCTTAAAACAGTGACAGTATGCTGGTACTTCTGGAAGCCTTCCTTGTTTAGCACACAGTCCTTTGAATACAGTTAGAAAAAGTAAGTTGATGTGGTTTTGACATCTCATCATCATCCAGAGTGTGTGAATTTTAGTCTTTATACATTGTATATACAGCTAAGGAGAAATCTGGTGTTATATGTACCATCTTTACAGTCTCAGAATTTCAGATTGTATTTATCTAATATTTTTAACTTGAAGCAGTCAAAGGTTTATTTAGATTGAGGGTCATATGCGTATCCCTGTGGTGCCCTGTATATGTTCAGACCCAGTATGAAACAAAACTGGACTAAAAGCAGAAACGTTGAGCCTAGGATATTTATGTGTCTTCAGCATCTTATTACTAATTGTATTTTATGTATAAATCACTTGTGTTCTTCAGCTGGAAAATATATTTCAAAATTGACATAAATTAAGAAGCTTTAACTACATTTGTTCAACCCAGGCAATGGAAAATAACCTGTCATAGATTCTCCTTTCAAAAATGAAAAACAGTTTATTTGCACTGTGAAAATAAACATTCAGAAATGTTCCTAGTGTTTTGACAACAAACTTAATATCATAAATATCTTAGTGGTTTCAGTTATGAGGTTCTCTTCAGTGGAAGATTGTCATGGCAGTGATTTTTGACACTTAAAGATAGTTTATTGCTTTCCCTTGGGAATGTGATAACCCCACATTAAATAGTATGGTGTTTTCTTTCTCTTGAGGATTAGCCTTCTTTATATTTACTTTCCTTTACAAAAGCAAACAAAACAACCTTTCTCCCCCACTATTGGAAGTCTTCAAAAATACCTCCTCCTTCTACTAATTCCTCAATTCCTTGGTGCTATAGGGTAACTAAAGAGTGAGCGAGATTGCATTGCAGCGAGGTAATGTGCACAGTTGTGGGCGTCAATAAATTTCTGGGCTGAACACTGACACAACTTGATATGGAAGATGTAAGTCACATTTAACGATACTTTAACACTTGAGCATAGTTTTTTATTTTAGTGGTTTATGCTCTCAAGCATTAATAATGATTTGCCTTTCCACTTGCCTCCACTTAGATTTAATAAGGAATTCATATTAATCATTAAAAGAAAGGGACATGATTCTTCAAGATAATCAAATATTGACAGGTTAGAAATAGCTTTCTGCCTGGGTTCATTGATATAGGTTATGTGATATAAATATTTATTTCTTTTCTGTCACTCAGAGTAAATGCCACCAATTGATTCAGCATTGATATAGTGTCAACAGTTCATAAGAAACATTTGACTGGCTTGTATTTTCCGATTAGTCTCTGCTCTATAAAGTGGGATTTACTAAATCTCTCCAATTGTCTGCTCATAGAGTGTGACTGCTTTCTGAAACCATTATTGCTTCGATTTGTGAAGCAAAGGTCTAGTGATAAGACTCGTTTCTGTCAGACCTTTACATATAAAATAAGGATTAATTGAGCATTTTTACTTTAATGATTTATAAGCGATAGGTACTGATTCTTCTTAACACAGACAGACAATAAACAAAGAATATTTTCTCTGCTGATCCATAATTGAATTCCATTTCATTATTCCCATTAATTTCATTAATATTATATTAAATCAAACACTTTTTAAAAAGTTTAACATTTAGTCTTTGGAATAGAGATACTTTTTTTTCTGTTACTGCTTAAGTGGAGAATTCCTTTTTTTCTCACCAGATTAAAAAAAATTTAAGATATTTTGGCATGTTTTATTTAGAACTGTAAATCAGTACCAATAATTTTTTTTCTGGATGTGTTTTCCCACTTCATTTTTAGTGTGCTATGATCTGTTTAACATTGATTGGCCCTTGATTTGAAACTGATTAATAATGGCCCAGTGGGTCAATTTAAAGGATTTAAAAAGTGCACTGTTACTCCGAGTATGTGTAACTTTGATCTTTACATTTATAAGTTGTTTTTCCTCTTTTCATTTTTTAGATTTTTGTAGGAGATTTTGTGACAGTATTTTCTCATTCCTAATAAGTCAAGTATAAGTGTTCTGAGAAATCACAGATCTAGAACTAATTCTGATCCTGCTGCATGTTTGGCTGGTATTTTGAGAACTTCAGATGCCTTTAGAAAAACTTTTTGTGTTTCAGAAAAAGAGGAGGAGGAAGAAAAATAGGTATTGTACTGTAAAATTAGCTTTAAAAACTAATTCTCACCAATATATTAAAACTCTTAGATTCTTACAGTTCATCTTAGATCCCATGTGAAGACTGAAACATGAATGAGACTGTGTATGTAAGTCCAGACTACATGACACCTCCTCTACCCATACAAACACAGCCTTTCCGCCCTGGTTGTCTGCATTCTGTTCACGGCACCTGCCTCCCTTTCGGCAGGAGCAGAGTCCAGTGCCAGTCATTTCTCTCAGTCATTTGCCATCTTGGTGATGACACATAATCATAACTCGCATGGCTTTTTCTTTCTCCACCCTCAACTTCTTTTATTCTGCCTTTTATTTGCTTATTTTTAGTCTAAACAAGGAAACTGATTTATATTTAAATTTTATTTTGGTGTCTTTATTGAATAAAACTTTTATTTCACCTCTTTTCTATGTAAAGAGCTATGTGATTTTAAAAACAGTTTTCTTTTTATTTTTTTATCCTCACCGGAGGACATTTTTTTCTGCATTTATCTTCAGACAGAGAGGGAGGGAGAGTGGAAGGAAAAGAGAGAGAGAAACATCGATGTGAGAGAGACACATTGACTGGCTGCCACCCACACAACCCCAACCGGGGCTGGGGACAAACTGCAACTGAGGTACATGCCCTTAGTGGGAACCCCAGACTCTCTGGTCCGTGGCTGATGCTTTAACCCCTGAGCCAAACCGGACAGGGCAAGAAAAAAAAAACAGTGTTGTTGTTGTTGTTTTTAATAAAAGAAATACCATAGCTAATGAAATTGCTTTTAACTTGTGACTGCCCTTCAGTCGATTGTTTTCCTTCCTGTGGGCAGTGACCATGGATGTCAAGGCCATCTCTCCATACTTACACACGAGTCCAATTGCTAAGGTTGAGCCTTGAGCAGAGCATCTGAAAGACCAAGTTCTAGCCTTGACTAGTTGTTATTTACTAGTTATATGATCTACATGGGCTAAATGCTTAAAATGCTGTAAAGTTCTGTGGTTTTTATGATATCTGATCCTAATATCATATTATCTAAATATCGTACTCTATGGCTTTTAAACCCCACTTTTGCATCATAGTGAGTACTCTTCCTGTGCTTCCTTATGAAAATTTGGATTAATATGCTTGTCTAAACTATAAAGGCAAAAATGCTATCAGCTATTTGTTGATTCCTTTAATGATTTCCCTTGGTTGAGGTCAATTAAAGTAATACATTTTGATCAGAGGTATGAAATTCTGAAAATTTTGTTTGTAATCAATTCATGAGATTGGTTCTAATAATTTTTCTTTGTAAAACTTCTTTTTACATCAATAATATTTGTATACCATATAAAATTAGAAAATTCAAATAAGTAAAAAGAAAAAGAATCTGACATTTTAAAATATAAAAATCTATTGAGTTCATAGGTCAGGCAGAGGTCTATAAAACTTTAAACCATCATAGAAACACGTTACCCGTTTTTTAATGGATGCTGTCTTTTTTTTTTTTATCCTTACCCGAGGACATTTTTCCATTTTTTGTTCAGGTAGGGCGGGGGTGGAAGGCATCGATGTGAAAGGGACACATCGAGTGGCTGCCATCCGCACGACCCAACCAGGGCCGGGGACAAACTGCAACCGAGGTACCCGGGTCTCTCTGGACCACAGGCCGAAGCTCTAACCGCTGAGCCAAACCGGCCAGGGCTCGATGCTGTCTTTTTAAGTGACATTGTTCTAGAAGTTATTAAAAACCATTTTTTATATTTATGCAACATTTACAATTTTCCTCATTATATGAAGGATTCCAAATTTCTGTCCCTGAATTTGCTTTCATAGTGCTTAGCGTGCACACACACCATTCAGTATTCCCTATCTTCTGGCTGTTTTGGAGCCTACAACTCCTGCCTAGTTTGGAGTGCTGGGAATGCTGGGTGGTGGCTGCTCTCCTTCTCTTTAGTGGGTAGGAGAGGTAAAAAGATGATGATGTCGGGATTACAATGGTTGAAGCCTTTTGGAGACATGCCATACTTACTCCCTTTCCTTCTCTTCCTCCAACAAAATACCACAAAATCAAACCCCCTCCAAAGTCCTAGTTCTATCCCAGTATATTATTGGAATGTATAATACCAATATGTCTTGGTGTGGGTGTTTTTCTGAGAAGGAACTCCTGGTCCTTTTACCAGGGAGGCCCTGATGAAGTAATGGAGGTGGAGGGGCTATGACCACAGATTGCATCTCACCAGAGTCCAGCTCCCATATACTCCATAGCTTCAGTCTGTTTACCCTCAAATCTCAGTACTAATTCTGAATTTGTGAACTTAGTGAGATATCTCTGTCCTAGAAATTTACTTCAAGCCATGATGAGGGTGCAGCTTGTTAGGCAAATTAATGGTACAAATTAGATTGTTAGAGTCATGTTTAGACTACCTAGAGAAATATTTAAAAGGGAATATCCTATTTGTATCCACCAGTAGATACTGTTATTAACGTATGTATCCTTTATACCTATCTATCAAAGTAAACCCAGTAGCAGCTCTGCTAGTTTAGCATCTCAAGTTACTTTATGTGCTTCTTTTTTTTTTTTTTTTTAATCCTCACCTGAGGATATTTTTTCCATTTATCTTTAGATAGAATGGAGAGGAGGGAGGGAAAGAGAGAACCATCAATGTGAGAGAGACACATCGACTGGTTGCCTCCTGCATGACCTTGACCAGGGCCAGGGACAAACTGCAACCGAGGTACATGTCCTTGACTGGAATCGAACCCACAACTCTTTGGTCTGTGGGCCGGTGCTCTAACCGCTGAGCCAAACCAGCCAGGGCTATGTGCTCCTTTTTTCTACTGTCTTAAAATGTGTCATTTGGTCCAGAATATTGAGGTTTTCTTTTCTTCATGCCACATCTTTTACACAGGTTAATTTTTTTTTTCTATATTAGTAATATAACAGTAGTGAAGAACAGAATTTCCCTGAAATGGGAAATAGTTGCCAATTTTTCTGGCTTGAATGTCATTTCTCAACTGACCCTAAATATAATAATTAGCTAATTGCAAATTGCATCATTCAGATTGTACTACAATTAAATTGGGTGTGGTATTGGCCTTCACACATTAATCTGTCAATATTCTTTTACGGTTTGGCAAAATGGCTTGGAAAGGAAACGGTTTCTGTTACCTGCACTGTACTCCTAATTATTACAGCTCTCTGAAGCTTCAGCCTTAGAAATATATAGCAGAAAAATATTTCCCTTGATAAATGAAAGCTTGCTTTATTCGATTGGTGGAAGTTTAGAGTACAGCAAAATAGTTAAAGCTTTACTATAATAATATGAAAGCAAACTATTTTTTTTCCAGGTGATATTGAATTAAAAACCCCATCCATTTTCTGCCCATGCAAGGCAGTTCAATTCCCTGGAAATTGATTTTTTTTTTCCCAGGCTTAGTATGGGTTTTCCCAAGCTTTAGCTTATATGGAAAATAACACCTTAATTGAAGCCACTTAGTGAATAAAGTTGGCAGTTAATATTTAAGCAACTGGACCAGTGTGTAGAAAATTATTGAATGCATCAAATATAATCTGACTAGTCTTAAAGTAATTTGATAAATAATTATTTAGGGAGTTCTTTAAAACTCTAAAACATTATTTTGTGGGCGCTAAAATAATTCACGACCATTTGTGATGCAAATGAGAGTAGTATTTGTGGTACAACAGTTTTACAGAACCTGAGGAGTCGTATGCTGTTGTATATATTAAATTAAGGAAGTGACTCTAGTTCATAAGAATCACATGCTTATATGGCTACCCTTTATGTATTGTAACATTTGACTATATATGCATTTTAAAGCGCATTGATTTGGCACTTTTCCATCAGCATAATATGATTTCTACTCAGTTATTGCTGTATACTAACTTACCATTGCCAAAGAAAAGCTCTATCTACTCTAGGAAAGTCATTAACATTATTCAGTTTGTTTAATGTTAATTATAGGGTCACCTGTGGAGATTTCAGGGGCTGATTTATTTACAGATCATGAATTAGATTACTGTGTGTGTGTGTTGTCTTCCCGAGTTTGACTTTGGTTATGTGCAGTGCTGTTTGGCATTGGTTATATGTAGTACTGGAGACTGTGTTCTTATCGGTATCTCTGACCTGACCCTTTTGAGCTATGTTATATCATTCCATTTTGACACCTTTTATCAAACTTTAATGAAATGACCCAGGCAAACAAATTGTCATTAAACTTTCCATCACTTTGTCCCTTGGTATCGTCTTTTATAAATTGGACAGCAAATGTTGTATTGATCTTCTCGTTCTTGCAGCTGAACTTGAAATGACCCAGACTGCTTGTTGTTTATGGCCCAGAGTTGCTTTTCCTTGACATTTCCATCCACAGCATGACACCCTTTTTGTTTTTCTTTCTTTCTTGTGGAGATGAATGAACAAGACATACGGTATCGAGACACTCTTGGTCATGGCAACGGAGGCACAGTGTACAAGTGAGTAGTCAATTTTGTTTAAACTTTCTGTCCACTTTTGCCACATGTGTGTACCCAAGTTCTCCTTGGCAAAGATTTTTAAATGGCCACCAGCGCTTAGATTTTATTTCTCCATTTGACTCCAAAATTCTGCAAGGCACCTATTTTTTTCAAGAATTGCTTGGAAAAGTGCATTTATATAGTCTTTTTTATTATTTCTGAGTCTGCATCTCTCCTGGGTGATCCATTAATAATCCACCATTAGCAAGTGTACCTTTAACGGGCCTGAAGTTTAATGCATTTTTTTCTTCTTCACTCTTTAACATCATGATTTTTTTAACTTGCTAGCACCCTATGCTAGTCCCCTGCCTGTTCACAGCTATGCCCAGTGGAAGACAAACCTTATAAATACCACCGCTTTGCCCTGGCCAGTTTGGCTCAGCGGTTGGAGTGTTGGCCTGCAGACCAGAGAGTCCCGGATTTGGTTCCCGCTAGGGGCACGTACCAAAAAAAAAAAAAAAAAATACTACTGCTTTGCCCTGTGTCGGCACTGTAAGTTATTAAAAAGACTTGTTCCTGTTGTATTTCCTTCTCTCCTCACCTTACTCCCCTGAGAGAATTTCTACACATTGATGAATATGTTAAGTTATAAAATTCTCCCAAATTCCAGTGGCAGTGATCCTACCCTAAAGGAGTGTTCATTTTCATATTAAAAAATGCTAACCATAAAAAATAGTTCTCTCTACAGGGAAGTCTTTCTCATGCAGTAGTACAAAGTTTAAACTACATAATGCAATGTCTGGTACTTAATAGTCTGCAATGGTGTATGAAAAATATTCCACCAGGAATTAAAAAATCCATACTCTGTAAGACAGCCCTGAGGGAGAACTAAAGCTTTCCTCCAGAGAGCTGTTTTCCTTAGATACACTAACCCTGCATTACGTTACAGTGGTCTTTGTACCTTAGATATTTTAACATTGATATCAATGTATATTTTCAGAGTTGTAAAATAATTTATTTTCTAATTGGTTACAAATGTTCTTAGAATTTTAAGTTCTAACTAACCACATGAATACAGATAAAAATTGTCCTGTTCCCCTATGACCATGAAGGGTCACGTCCTGAAATCCCAGAACAACCTCCACACATAGATGCATCCTTGGAACAGAATTAGATTCCTCAGGGTTAGAGGCTCCATCTGCTTCAGTCCCCCACCCAGGACTTCAATTCTCTCTGCAGGTAGTGCCAGTAGAGAGGATTAAGTAATGACATATTTCTTACACAGTCCTTGGGTCTTGCCTTTAAAGACCCATGTTTGATGGCTAATGTGTCTAATGAGTTTGAGGCTACTGTTGGCCTTCCCTGGATCATACTAGCATTCCTTCCCATGCAGCCCCCAGTTCTGCACAAAGAGCATCTCTTCATTGTAGTCTCCTTACTCTTATCTGACTTGAATTGTTACTGTGTTCTGAAGGTTTTTGTGTTCAGGTACAATTAGAAAGGAAAGAAGGAACAATGTACACTCCGATTTCTTTCTCTTGAGTTCCCTAAAAGGAGAAGTTTTCAAAGCCTCACTCTTCCTTCCTCATGCTCTCATGCTGATAGCATAATAGTATAGCAAGGATTTCTAGCAACTCTTTGGATTCCTTTTATTGGCTTCAGATGGAACTCAAAAACATTTCTTTAGACTCCTAACCCATTTCTTATTTGTGCTATTTCACCTAATATTTAACTTTCAAGCATGTTTGTATTTATTAATTGAAGGCCTATTGTGAATTTACTTTCCTGGTTTGTTCTGGAAGGGAGAAATCATAAGACCACCAAACCCTAGCAGATAATTTTTATTAGAAATAATACTCTGATGTTAAAATTCTAATCTTTTACCTTAAAACACAGGTTTGTATGTTAAAGGGGGGGGGGCATGATGGAAGTAACATGCCCACCCAGCAAGGAAAAATTACAACAAAATTATGTTAGTATTTTTTAAATATTATTTTTAATTGTCATAAAATACATATAACATAAAATTTACCATCTCAATAATTTTTAAGTGTACAGTTCAGTGGCATTGAGTACATTCACATTGTGCAGCCATCGCCACATCTGTCTGCAGAACTCTTTTCATCTTGCAAATCTGACAACCTGTACTCATTAAACAGCAACTTCCCATTCACCTGGTTAATGTTGTTTTTAGCAGGAAGCATGGCTAGAACTTCTGCTTTTGTTAGAGTCACACAATATCCAAGGGAACATCCTTCCACATGTCCTTAGCCCAAGCTCTTTAATTTGCTAGAATGCTGCAGTGACATTAGCAACTTATCATCCTAAGAGTTCATTTAACTACCATTTCTTAGATTCAATATGCATGTTGTAAGATTTAATGTTTTTGACAGTGGTTGTTTATGGAGGGTGAGTGGCAGTATCATGATCATTTTAGTACTTTATTTTGTATAGTTGATTTCATATGTGTGTGTGTGTATACATATAAAGAAGATATTTCAGTTACCTTGTTGTATAGGTTATTCTTAAGGGGGAAGGACATGAAGATACCAAATTGCATAAGCATTTGTCATTGATCACTGGCCTTCATTTCTTCTTGGGTTTCAACATATGTTGTTCTTATGTCCCTAGCTTTTTTTAGTTCAGCACAAAGAAATGATATAATTACCAAGAAATGAAAATCTACTTTACTAAAGTCTCTATAAAACCAAGTGTTTTTTTTTATGTGTTATGATTGACTTTCTTCTATACTAAGTTTACCTTAATGGTGTTGACTATAAAAATTGTGATTTTTTTTTCCAAACAAAATGATTACATTACAGGCTATGCTACATAAACTAGATGAAGGAAATATTGGAAAATCCACTCATTGGTAACAAAACTGCCTAATGGGCCTATTTAATTTTTTTCTTATAAAGTATAATAAAGCTAATAAATGCAAAGCAAAAGTTTAACATTTCAGTCTTATTTGCTCCACTTGATGGGATATTGTGATTTTCAAGGGATAAACTGCAATATATATTACTTAATAGTTGATGACATTTTCATCTCTTAAGTCTAGATGTTCTCTCCAGTTACGCAATATGAAATTTTGGGCCCAGGCATTTTAACCAAATGTGGATTCTGTGTGTAGTCCCTCCTAAGCTATTCTCTGTATTATGATAGTGACCCAGGGTGACAATTTTAAGTTGGTGTCTCTTGGATTACTGGTTTGGGTGAAATGGATCATAAAGGAAATACCTTCCACTAAAATATAGCCCAAGTCTAGGAGGAAAAATAATTTAGGAAAAGGAAATGAATGCACTTTCATTATTGCTTCATTTACCAAAGTGCTGCAATTGTTCCAAAAAATTAATGCAGGAAATATACATGTTCTGTTCCCCTCTGAGAGATTCACAATGAATTTCAAAAACTTTGAAAAAGTAGAGAGCAGTGTGTGTTGTGATTAAGTGTAGGGGCTCTGAATTTGAATCCTACATCTGCCACTAACAATCGCTTGGGAAAATTATTTAATGTCTTCTGCCTTCATTTTCCCATGTGTAAAATGGGGATAATAATAACATTTGTCTTACAACATTGTTGTGAGGTTAAATGAAATGTTCCATAGAAAAGGTTTACCACTATGACTGACACTAAATGTTAGCTATTGGTAATGGTAGTACTGATAACAGAAAAAGCATTCAGCCTTGTGCTTCCTAAGCTTACTTGGCCGTGAGATTCTTTTTCTGAGACACAGTTGTTAACATCTCACAGAATTAGAGTTGTGTTGAATTAAGTTTCAGAAATTCTACATTATATTATGATATGTAGTATACTTCTGTGTTTTCTTCTGTTCTCTGTCTCACGAATATGATTTATTATATCTTACATATTATCTCACAGTGATTTTTTTTAAAGTTTCAAAGTATTTTCTCTTTTGACGTCATTTATTTTGTAATTACTCTGTGACGGCTGGTATAATGTGAAGCCCATTTTGCCCCTGGAGAAAGCCAGAGCTCCAGTTCCTGTGACCGGTCAGTAGCAGAGCCAGGACTTCACAGCACCTCTTTCTTTCACTGTTTTCCCCCAGGCAGTGTTGTTTCTCAAGGTCAGGGTGTTTCCTTACGTTTTCTAATGTACCCAGCATAGTCCAAAGTATGGAATAGATTCTTTATACATGTTGGCTGAAGTGGAATGAGGCAAGTGGAGGTTTTACAAGCAAGTTTTAGTAAGGCTCTTTAATTGTTGCTTCTCATATCTGGCTAGTTTTAGATCCTGTGGAATTCAGAGGCTGCATAGTTGTTCTAGAACATTAGCCTAGAAGAATAGAAATTTCTAAACTAAGAGCATATATTTGAATGACTGCTTTTCTTTCAAATGTTAAAACTTTGGGTACTTAGCATCCATTAGCCCAATACACTAGTTACTGCTCTCTTTTCTTAGACAGTATGTCACATTGAAATGAAAGTAATTAACAGTCTCAGTTACTTTGGAACTGATCATGAAGGCCAGTCCCTCAGGTTCTTTGCTCTCTCCTCACAGTTTGATGGAGTCACCTAAGTTTTACGTCTAGAAATGAAGTGATATTTAACTCTTAGGACTTAAATCATGCTGAGTCAGTTAACCAGCAAGCACTTAAGGATCATCTTTTCTATTTTTTTCCTTCATGCAAATTACTCAGGCTAAGACTCAAGTTGTCAGCTTTTTGGCCATGTATTGTAGTCTCTAGGTGTTTGAAAACAGTAGTGAATTTTCTACCTCCAGCTGCTTCCTAGAGTACAATTAAGAATATGACCTGGATTTGGAGTAGAATTTTCTCAGTGATATAATGGGTAGCATATATGCTGTCTACATGGTGTTATGAAGATTGGATATATGCCATTATTTAATAATTAGTTTGACCATATCTAGAGACAAGAAGAAGAGGGAAGGGATAATAATTCTCAAAGATGTTGGTCTGTCCTCCTTCACGCTGTCTTACGTTATTATTATTTTTTTAATCTTTAGATAGAGGAGGAGGGAAAGAGGGAGGAAGAGAGAGA